GAACTCTTGAAAAATAGTAGACTACATTCTTCAAAGACCAAGTAATTTAAAAACTAATTTTGTCTTCAGTGATTGTTTGTTCTTATTATTCTGCTGAGAATATTATCTTCAGTTGAGCCTCAGGTCCAGGAAGAGGAAGCTGAGGCTTTCCATGAATACTGTCTGTTTTAGCATAGCCAACTCGTAGCCCTTATTTAAGTATAAAAGAAGCAGATGAGTTCTGTGTCATATTGAATATTTTTTTCCCATTGGGCATTTGTGGGAGAAGCAGATGCCTTGTGGTGTGATTCTGCTGTAGCAGTTGGTTGGTAGGCTACCCTTCTGAATGCAAGCAGCAGGAAAAAATGTCAGCTTCTCAAGGTTGTGGTAATATATAGATCTTTTAATTGGACAGCAGAAGTGTAGATGTGCCAAAGACAGACAAGAAAAGGGTATCTGAATAGCACCGTAAGTAGTATTTTCTTCATTTTGCAAATTCAGTAGTTATATTTTTATTAATTTCTTGCTGAAGAACCTCATAAGAATTTTGCTTTCACTTCAGCAAAGATAGATATCTATGAAATTCTTTGTCATGGTGTTTTTTCTTTCTTACATGATACATGATTTACATGTCTTGGTCTCTTCTGTCAAAGCGTAAAACAAGGAAAAGTCTCTGTTAAAAGAAATTAACAAAAATCTGCTATTTGGGGCTTTTGTTAGTCAGACTGCTCTTTTTTATACCTTTTTTTCCGTCTGAATGCTCAGAATCAATACTTCCTTAGTGTTGGTATAAAATTTCTGCATTTATCTTCTTCAGATCTTGCTGTTGAGCATTAGGATGGTAATTTGTTAAATAAAAATCAGTGTAATGATATATCAGTAATGTGTTAATTAATCATAAATCATAGTTACAAAACTAAAGTCTAAATCACCTGCGCTTAAGGTGTTGCTTCAAGAGAATTTTATACATAGAACGTTATTTTTTAAATTTTGCGTAGGTTATCCAAAATCAAAACAGATTGGAGTTAATTTAGTACCACGTTTTCATTCAACGCACCAATGGAAAAGATTCAGAAACTGATGATAAATGTTTGCCAAGGTTTTTTGTCCAGCTTGATGTAATTTGATGTTTATTTGGTAAGCCTTGTGGGATGGTATTTTAATTGATAATGTTTTCATTACAAATTGTTTGAGTGGCTCAGTTTGAAGAAAACAGTGCTTGCTGTTCCCATTCACTGAAGGGCTGTTGGGCGTCGCATACTTTGATTATCATATTTTGTTATTCATTACATTTATATTGCATTTATGTTTAAATCTTCAGATAGCAAAGTAAATCTACAGTAGGAAAGAAAATACTATTTACACTTTTTGAAAGAAAAAGCAACCCCCCTCAAATTGCTCAGTGATAACTGAAACAAATTTTGTTTTTTAAAGCAGAAGCATAGTGCTTCTTTCCAACAACCCTAATCCAGTCTTCAAGTGATTCATTTTAATTTAGAAACTAAGATCTTGGATAATTATCACCTAACATGCAGAATCATTTGTAGAATACCAATTAAGACTGGGATTATATGATATTTTTGTAGATCATATATTCCCCTAGTAAATATAACTAGTTTTAGTCTATACAGAATAGGATTTAGACACTTCAAAGTGATACAGACTTTGGTACTGCTTTAAAGTGCAAAAATTTGTCTCTGCAGAACAATGCTTTGCAAACTTCAAGGATATGCTGAAAAATTGTCAGGAGCTGACAGAAATACTCTGTCTGAAGTGCCATCGCTGGAAACAGCATGGCTTTAGCTTACCCTGTGGTCTGATTATGTAAATAACATTTCACAGGGCAGACGCAATGGCCAATTATATGTTTTGCTTTTAAAGGTAACTGTATTTGAAGAAGGTTGACTGAAATATCTGTGGTCCTTTGAGAGAGTCTTCAAAATTAGCCCAAGATCTTTGTCACTTTCTGGACCTCATGCAGTGTATAGTAGCACTGGAGTTGCAAGGAAGCAGTACAAGCCCTGAATACACATGGGAAAGACCTCTCGTGAGGGATTCTTGAACAACAGTTGTAAGGCCTCTTTCTAGGGTTAAAAACATGCTATGGTTAGCATAAGTTAAGTAGATGTTGGAAATCAAAATTACAAAATGCTGATTGCTGTGGTGCACAGAAGGACCACTTTTAAAGGATCTGCAATCACTTCACATTCACAGTTAGTTCAGTGTAAGATGTCCTTGAATTCCTCCCAAGACTGAGCTCTTATGCAAGGAATAACTTTATGCTTAATACCATCTCTTTTGACTGAATTGTGCTTTCTGGGACTACTGACCTGCTTAGAGTCACAGGTCTTCACCATCTCCTCTGAGTTCTAGAAAAGTGTGGTGTATTTTATCCTAAAGGCACTACTTTTAAGAAGATCTAACCATTACAGATCAGTGCTGTGTACCTATTACACCAGTCACAAAAATGACATCAAAGCTGTGTAGAGAGTGTAGTGTTGATGTTTTTAATGTGACTGTTGGTTTGAATACATAGTGTTCCGGGAAGAGCACTATGCTCCATGATGCTCAAGAACCTCCTCTTCTTACATCAACAAACTTCCTAATCCTAATTCATTGTGGAAATTGGGAAGGAAAGTAAATAATTTCACTGAATTAGGGCAAGCACAGTAGGATTTAATTCAAGTATTTTTTCATTTAAAATATGCACGTTTTGTTCTTGGCCAAAGACGGTTGTTGGCAGTGTCTTACATGACTTTTAGAAGGCATTTGGCTACTTGAAGTGTGAGAACAAGTGTGG